ATATATATATATTGTATTGTTTTTTTCTCTTTAAGTCTGAAATTTAGATTTCATTGGATCTCCTGGATTTTTCTTTTGCAAAACCTGGCAAACCTGTGTGGGGAGGACAGAGTGTGGGAACAAGGAGACAAGGGGGCAGTGACTGCTCTGGTCCAGAAGTACCATGATGAGTTATCAGGCTGAGGAGGAGAGAAGAGGATGCATCCTGGATAGATTCTGGAGAAAGTCCATGAGGCTTGTTGATGGACTGGACATGGACAATGTGCAGACCCTTTGCTGGGGGACTTGGCCTTTTAATGTGAAAGAAGTGGGAGGGATGGTCCTGGTTCAAGGAAAGGACAGAAGATCAGACCTGGGACTCCATGCAGCCTGCCTTCGTGAATTGTCCTAGCTCTAGGATTCTCATCCTTAGCACTACGGGGTCAAATAATCCTCTGTCGTAGGTAGTATCCCTGGGCTCTTTCCACTAGATGCCAGTTGTTAGTGGCTGCTGAGTCAACTCCAATTCATGCTGACTCCAGATACAACAGAACGGAATGTTGCCCCTTCCTGTACCCTCTTCATGCTCCTTGGTTCTCAGCAGCAGCCACTGTTTATTCTGAGCACCTTCCAGCCTAGGGGGCTCATCATCCCTCACTCCATTGGACCATGTTCTGTTACAATCCATACGGTTGTCACTGGCTGAGTTTTGATGATAGTAGATTGCCAGGCCTTTCTTCCTAGTCTTTGCCTGGAAGACTCCACTGAAACCTACCGAGTCGGGATAATCCTGCTAGTATTTGAAATCATGTACCACAGCCACAATGAGCCACCACGGCATGACACACGGACAGATGGAGACGGGTTTCCTAAACCCATTGGCATTGAGTTTGTTCCAACTCCTAGTGACTCTATAGGATAGGGGCAGAGCTTAGCTGCCCTATAGGGTTTCCAAGGCTGTAATCCAAGGAGACTCAGTTTCTAGCACTATATAGAAAATTTTCTATTGCAACCCATGGGGTTTTTATTGGCTGGCTTTTTTTCGTACAAGTAAATCACCAGGCCTTTCTTTCTACTCTATCTTAAGCTGGAAGTGCCACTGAAACCGATCCACCATGGGCGACCCTGCTGGTATTTGAAATACTCGTGGTTTAGCCTACAGCATCACAGTAACACGCAAGCCACCACAGTACGACAAACAGACAGATCAGAGGATGTCAGAAGCAAACACCGCCCCCCACCCCCAACACAGTCTCGACAACCACAAGAATCTGCAGATGTCACCAAGGTGTCATGAGCACACCTCAATCAGAACCTCTGTTCTAGGGATAGTACTTGGGGGGAGAGGATGGAGATGAGACAGTGAGGGGATGGATTGGGACGCATCCCTCCAAAATAAGAGGGGAGTTCAAACGTTTTGTGAAAAAAGTAGAATTAAAAGATCATGAAATTTCCCCACAATTTTTTTGAAGCCTCCTTGTATGTTTTGTAAATCCCAACCCCTATCATGGTTATGGGGTAGAGGTGTGGCACTGGGAGATAAGCACTGGAATGCTAACTGGAGGTTGGTGGTTCAAACCCACCAGCCACTCCTTGGAGCTGACTTGAAGGCACTTAACAACAACATGGTGGTTGTAATTCGCTTTGAGAATTGGGTTTCTTTGTTGTATTGTTGAGGTGTTGTTGTTGTTATTAAGTGTCGTCCAGTCGGTTCCAACTCATAGTGACCGTGCATACGGTTTCTGAGGAGCAGCTGGTAGATTTGAACTGTTGACCTTGTAGTTCACAGTCCAGTGCTGATCCTAGCGCCACACCGGAAGTTGTATAACCCACAGCCATCAAGTCAATTCTGACTCACAGCAACCTTCTAGGACAGAATAGAACTGCTCACTAGGGTTTCCATGTAGGAGCCCCAAGTTTTAATCCTGGCCAGTGCACATCCATCTGTCTGGGGAAGCTTGCATGTTGCTAGGATGCTGAACAGGCTTCAGAGAAGTTTCTAGACTAAGACAAGGAGGAAAGTCCTGGAGATGGACTTTCAAAAGTCAGCCAAGGAAAACCCTATAGATTACAACAGTCGGATCTGCCTTGGATCATGAGGATGGCGCAGGACTGGACAACATTATGTGCCATTGGGGATGCGAACAGATATTTTGACAGCAGCTGATTGCAAAAACACAGGCAACACACCGCCCACTCGAGGGCTCAAGGTCATCTTGTCAGGCAAAGGGAGGAAATGGCAAGTAGAGTCTGATAAAACTTTTAATATTTTGAAGTTTAGGCACTTAATTGTGATCCCGGCTCTACCACGTCCAGCAGCTGGCAGCTGGTGATGATAATGGGAACTTTGGCCTTCACCGTGGTCAGGGACCAGGGCAGGTGGATGGTGATGACCAGCTCATACTGCGTACTCATGATCTCTGTGTCCTGCTGGTGGCCGCTGCTGCTCACCGACAGCACCAGGGGCAGGTAGAAGGTGCTGATGACCTTGGTGGTGTCGAAGGGTGCGATGTGGGTGTGGGCCTCCTGACGCAGCAGCTCGCTGCTCTCCGTGCATGTCCGCCGCTCAGTACTGGGCGTGAAGCCTTGGTATTGCACGTGGGCGTAGAGGGCGAAGAGGACCGTCTTGATGCACTTGCTGGTCTGGTTGTTGATCTCCGTCGTGAAAATGACCCTGTCCCCAGGTGTAAAGATGTTCTTTTCCATGTGGATCTGCAGGTGGATGGTGCCCTGGCTGCAGCAATTATACGAGATCCTCTTCTCAGCCTCAACCAACAGAGGGTTCTAGGAGACAGGAGACCCGAGACTCATGAGAGATGCTGGGCATAAGATTCACGTGTCTGCCTGCACAGCTTTCCACCATTGCAGCTGCTCAGACAGAGACTCAGAGTGAGGGGCTGAGGTGAGGTGGGTGGTGGTGGTGGTGTTTTGGACTGAATTGTGTCCCCTAAAGCAATACATGTCAATATGGCTGGGCCATACTTCTCAGTGATTTGGCACCTATGCAATGACATCATCCTCTCTCATAATGTGATTGGCCAATCGGGTGTAAGGGGAGCAAGTGGGATGCAACATCCTACTCAGGTCACAGCCCTGATCTGACATAAGGGGAGTTTCCTGGAATGTTTATCTTAGGGGAGATCAAAGGAATCAGAGATCACAGGGACCTACTGCCACCAGGAAAGTAGAGGCAGGAGTGGAGGTGTTCTTTGGATCCAGGATCCTTGCTCTGAGACCCTCCTAGATCCAGGAGCAGATTGATGACAAGACATCCAGAGAGCACCAAAGAAAGCTGGGCCCACAGACATTGGAGGGAGACAAGGACCTTCCCCCAGAGTCCACAGAGAGAGAGCGCCTCCCCCTAGAACCAGTGCCCTGAACTCTAGCTCCCTAAACTGTGAGAGACTATGTCTCTGTTTGCTGAAGTCCCCACATGTAGTGTTTCTATTACTTCAGCACTTGGAAACCAAGATGAATGCCAGTCAACTTGTTTCAACTCGTGTGATCCCATGTGATGAAACAGAACTGCCCTCTAGGATTCTTTAAGGAGCTCTGGTAGCGTAGCAGTTACGAATCGGGCTGCTAACCTCAGGGACAGCAGTTCAAAACTACCAGCCGTTCCGCAGGAGGAAGATGAGGCTTTTTGCTCCCATAAAGATTTACAGCCTCAGAAACCCTGTACAGGGTGGCTAGGAGTCGGAACCGACTCCACAGCACATAACAACAACAACATAGGATTCTTTGGAGTCCTGGTGTGGCGCTGTAGGATAATAACTTGACCGCTAGGTCAGTTTGAACGGCAAAGTTGGTGATTCAAACTCATCAGCTGCTCTTTGGAAACCCTATACAGGGTCGCTATGAGTCGGAACCTACTCGACAGCACTTAACAACAACAATATAGGATTCGTTAAGCTGTGAACTTTTCAGGAGCGGATTGCCAGCGCTTTCTCCCACGGAAATGCTGGGTGGGTTTGAACTAACAGCGTTTTGGTGGCAATCCATCCCTGGTTGGTGCAGACACTGAACCTGCTCAGCTGCTAACTAAAAGGCAGGATTCTGAGTCCACTCAGAGATGCCTTCGAAGACAGTCCTGGCTGTCTATTCCTGAGAAGCCAGCCATTGTAGACACACAGCAGCATCATGTGTCGGAAGCAACAGGATCACACCTAATCACAAGAGCAACAAGTATCTATAGACATCACCTGCTGGGTTGCAAAAAAAAGTCACATTGATACTATTATTCATGTACGGAGTGGGCAATACTTTGTTCTGTTAATTTATGGATGACATTTTGAAATAAGCTTAAACCCACTCAATTGCTTTTGCCACCCACTCATGGGTCTTAAGGCAAGGTTTGAAAAACACTGCTTCTGGTCTGTTTTTTTTTTCTTCTTGGAGACCTGAAGCTGACACCTGACCCCTGAGACCTCCCCTGCCGCCCTCTGACCCTTGTTCTCGCCCCTTTTCCAACTTCCCACGCTTCCCCTCCCTCCTGCAACAGGGCTAATTGCAGGCAGTCTCTTTCGAAAGCCCTTCACTCTTATTCGAAAATTCCTCACAGGCATTAGGGCCCCTCAGGCAACTGCTCTAACTCAGGAAAGCAGAAGAATGTCTCCAAGGTTGCCATCTATGGGGGCAGATTGTCAGGTGGTCTTAGTCCCATGGGGGCTCATACCACAAACCTTTGGTTAACAGTCTAGTGTTTAAAATGTTGGCATGCCACCAGGGCCCTGATATGGGTGGTTGTTTTTATTTTTTATTTTTGGTGTGGAGGAAGGAAATTCATTCATTTCACCCAATATTTATTTAGCATCTTTTTGTTGCCAGGCTCAAAGTCTCTGGGTAGTACAAGCAATTTACACCCACTCGCAAGGTTAGCAGTTCGAAACTACCAGCTGTTCCGCAGGAGAAAGATGAGGCTTTCTGCTACCGCAAAGATTTGCAGCCTTGGAAACCCTGTACAGGGTCGCTATGAGTTAGAACCGACTCCACGGCACTTAACAACAACAACAACACTGTAGGGTAAGCACTGGACTGCTAAGTACGAGGTAGGTAGTTCAAACCCACCAGCTGCTCCTCGAGAGAAAGATGAGGCTGTCTGTCCCCGTAAAGATTTACAGGGTCACTGTGAATTGGAATCGACTAGATGACAGTGTGTTTGGGTTTTATTAACTTAAACGTTGGCAGTTTGAACCAACCAACCAGCACTGCAGAACAAAGGCCTGGAGGTTTTATTCCATAAATATTGTCGTTGTTGAGCCATTGAATTGATGGTAGATTCAGTACGACCCCATGTGTGCAGAGTAGAAACTTTTCAGAACCTGTAATTTTTACGGAAGCAGATTGCTGCATCTTTCCCTGTAGAACTGATGGGTTTGAACCTCTGACCTTTTGGTTGGAGTTGAGTGCTTAACTGTTGCGGTACCAGGGCTCCTTCCAGAAAGAGGACAGCTAAAAAAACAACCCTATAGTGCACAGTTCTACTCCGTAACATATAGGGTCAGCGTGAGTCAGAATCCATTCAACAACAATGGGGTTTGGGGTGCCGAGTTCAAGGAAAAGCCACAGCATTGAAGACCAATCCAGTCTCTGCCCTGCTGGTGGAGACAGACAGTAAGAATTGGACATCTGAAGATGAATGGGGTCATTCCTGAGAGTACCAGTAATGAGGCTGTGGGTGAAACAAAACAAGGATTGTGATAAATGGAGTAGGGGGAAGGGGCCCCGTAGACAGTTAGGAAGGACTGTAGAAAGACCCTTCCTAACCGCACAAGGATTCTGGCCCAGGCTGTTGTTTAACTTCTTGTTGTTGTTAAGTGCCGTCGAGTCGGTTCCGACCCATAGCGACCCTGTATAGGGTTTCCCAGG